CAAGGCTCAAAACAGAGGCTATTCAAAACGAACGGTCCCAGTGAGCGCTTCAAAGTAGGAAAACACAAAACTGACAATTCTAACCAAAACGTCTTTGCCCCCAAAAGACAGGCCCAAAAAGGCATGAAGGCTTAAGAAGAAAAGGTGCCGCTCTTGGACCAAAAGCAGTGCCCTTGACTCTAGGTCTCCTTCTAGATTGGCTCCCTCTCCAAACAGCAAATTGGTATACCCCGAATTCCAAGACAGCAGTTGGGCAAACCCTTGCTTAAACAACTTCAAACACCCATTTTTGAAACAACCTCCCTTTGGCTTCCCTTTAAAGAGGCAGCTGTTTCAACCCATGTTGCCCGACCCTGCCAAAGAGCACCAAACCGAAGCACCCCCCCCAACCCCGCCCCCCCCCCCTACCCCACCTCCTCCCTGCGCCCGGCGGCTCCGATTCGTGGCGGAGGAGGGTCTCACCTCCGGGGCGCTGGACATCCTGCGCGCCGCGATCGGCGGGCACGCGCGGCGCCACGCGCCTGCAGGTCTCGGACCCATGGGAGGGTCGGATCCCGCTGGCTTGAGGATTGAAACGCCCCAAATTGTGTTGTGTGGGAAAAGTAGCCCCGGATCGCGCGAAACCGGAATTTGACTGAAACCATGCATAGCTGTTTGCTGGTCGGCGGAAGCATGTTGATATGTTGCCCAAAAAAGACGTAAAGGGCCAACCAAACCGCAGTCGAGTCTCAGCTGACAATGCATAGAGACTCATTTGGTGGTATCAAAGACGTTCTCAACATTCAGCCGTTGGAATCCCCCCCTCAAGAGATAAACCACCTCTGAAGTCTGGTCCTTCTTCATTCGAGTTTGACAAGCCCTTTCACCCCCAGGGTCGCCCCTCTACCCCGCCGTTTTCTCACCCAGTTCATTGCGTAGCTATGGAAAATAGCGTTTTCTGGGGCAATACCCACGATTCATGACTGTACTTCACTGAATGTTCAAGCAAACTTACTATTGTTTAATCCAAAAGAGATTCTCTCGGCACAGAAAGTAGCCCTAGCGTCCCCCCGTCCTCTGAAGCGAACTCCGGCGGATGTCTCCCAGCGCCTTGCGAAGCAAAACGTGGGATCCCTAAGCACCCCGTCCTCTAGAATCTGGTGGACTTTTGAGTTCCGCGTTAATCTGCAGGGGAGTATGCGCTTGGGTTCACACCTGCGAAGTTGGAAATTGAGGAGCCCCTGAATTCATGTAAAGCTCACTCTAGACACGTGTCATCTTGCCAAAGAGCAGCTCAATTCAAATTGGCAACCAAGATATGATACCCAAAACATGCGACATAAGAGGAACCGTGAGGGGGTTGGGAAGGGTGTGCTTGCGGCTCCGCATGCCTTCGCGAGTCTCTTTGCACGAGATGCATACTAAGTCACGGGGTAGCCGTCGCCTTTCGCCGTGCACCCCACAGGTCTTGATTGAGGTAACCCTCACAGCCCCCGTTCAAACAATCTGGATGCCGCCATGTGTCTCTACTTCTTTTGAGGGTATATACTTTCGTAAGGGCTGATTCAACAGCTCGGCTTGGATATCCAAAAGCAAGTGCTTTGCGACATGTCATGCGCTTGTTTCTGGACACCATGCCTTAGACATGCAAATGCCTGGGACAGGATTGTTTGAGAGGGGCAACACCTGAGGGTGTGCAAAAAGTCTTGGAATTTGGGTGTTCCAACAACTGTGAACCCGCACTTAAGGGGGACGCATAAAGGCAGCCAAAGGAAGCCAAGCATAGCCGGGATGCAGACAGCTTTCTAAGGCTTTTTAAGAAACTCGAAGGAACTAGAAGGAACCGTAGGGAACCCTAAACCTAAAAACTCTGGGGCTCTCATCTCTCAACTACCCACCCTCCTGCCTCCCCGCCCACCCCCCTCCCCAGGAATTGATTCCTTTGTCAATTCTGATAAACACCAATTTGTTGCAAGCTGATCCTCAAAGTCACCATGAAAAGGGCATCACCTCCTCTGACCGCCCGCGATCCATTCCGTCCCACCTTTCCGGTCTGCCAGAACCCACCAACGAAACCACTCTTCCACAACTACCAAACCACGTTAAACTCTGCAAAACTCCCACAAGACATGTCAAAGAACTCAAGAAGCCGAACCAAAAAATCCTCCCTCACGGGTTGGGACCCCAACATTTGAACAACCCCAGACCCTGGCCCCCTTTCAAGAGGATAGAATTCTCTCAACTTGGACGCAATGTTGTTTTAACATGGGCCAACAAAAGTTCAACTTTTCCTCTGGTAATGGTCCACGCCCAGCTCAGAAAGCGTCTCAGAACCCCGAGGGCTTCGCCTCTGAGACCTGTCGTCACCGGCCCCCACTGGTCCAAGGGCCTGGAGCGCTTGCGCGCTCTGCTCGTAGGCGGCGAAGTTCTGGAGCCACGTCGCCGTGCGGTTCGACTCCTTGAGCTCCTCATGGACGGGCGGATGCGGGTTCGCGTGATTTTTTTGTTTTTTTTAAACAAAAAAAGGAGGACCTTTAAGGCAGCTTATATAAAGTCCAAAATGATTGTAGGGATAGTAAAGTGACTACAGGGTCAAACTCTTAGCCGATTGCCTTTTCCCAACCTAGAAGAGGCATCAGCAAAGGAAGCGGACAAAATGGCGAAGGTTTCCTAAGCAGGGCGGCTCCATGTCCTTCCCAAACCAACAGTAGGCCACAAAGAATCAATCTTCTTAGCTGCTCATATGGGTGGTCCCTTTTTTGGATGCGGTTCCCTTCTCGGTGCCTTGAAAGCACCAAAAACGCCAGGCATCGGAAACCCCTGTAAAGATCCAACAAAGGCGCTCGGATCGACTCGGATCGGCTCCGATTCCGAGGTCCCGGCTGACAGGCTGGCGACGGCACGCTTTGGCTTTCGGCAGCCCACCGAGCTCGGCCGACTCGCGGCGGTCCTTGGCCTACGTCGGAAGGGTCTGAGCGACGAATCCACGGGGCCACGGAACCTTCGGCTTCGTTTGACTTTTGACAGGGTCAAAGGCCAACCCGAGATTGTGATTGGGGGACAGGCTGGCGCCCCAAGAATCTGTGTATGAAACCCCTCCTTTCGTTGTGGGGCGGACACAAACAATTATCCCAAGCTGCCCAGTGGACAACGAGAAGCCTCCTTCAAGCCATCCCGGCATAAAGCGAGGTTCAAGCCATTTTTCCCAAGTTTGTCACCTTCGTATTCTACTTGAACGGCCATCAAGGAAAGGGGAGTGGGAAACTCGGTGAGTTGGCAGTCCCCCTATTTTGCCACATACCCGTTTGGTGCAATGACACTGGGACCATTCCGCCACCAGAGCTTACAGCTGCGGCTCGAAGCCAAACCGAATTGACCGTCGAATACCGGATTGTTTGATCAACCTAAAGACTCGAGGCTCAACCCTGTGGTTTAAAAAGGGAACCTTCCCCAAAGTAATTTCGATAACCCCTCGAAATGCTCACATCGAGAGACCCAGTTGGGCCGGCAAACTGCCCATGGCCCATCGGCTCGCTTCGTTTCCACTGATTCCTCCCAGGTCTTCTTGCGCAATTTCCTCTCAAACTCTACCGATCCGGATCGCTTTTGGGGGATGATCCCCTCACAATCCTTGAGTCCATCTGTGATATCTCGCTAAGCCACTCCCGCCTGGAACTCTGCCTCGACTGCGGCCGGCTGCAAGACTCGCGGGTGGCCTCGAAGAATATCCCTGACTCAGGGCCGAAATTTCGAGCCTGGGGTCTGTCCCCCTCAATGCTTTCTCTTCTTTTGTGGCTGGGCCACAAAAGGGAGTCAACCTCTTTTTCAAACAAGGGGGCGCAAGTTGACAAACCCTTGATGGGTCCAACTCAATTTTCGACCAAAGAGATCCGAAAAGCAAACCCTGGGGAGAACACAAAAGAGAGGCCTACCAGGACAAGGTTGCCTTCCTCGAACCAGATCTTCACAAACAAACCTCTAGCCCTTCTGTTCAGCCAAACCCTCCAAAAGGTTACCCTCCTAAAAGCCCAAAACATTAGAGAAACAAAAAAAATGATATACATATGTAATCATATATATATATATATATATCTATGTTTATGTATTTATTTGCTTATTTAGTTCTGCGTCCACCCAATCCCCCACGCCAACCTCTTCTGCCGGACGCTTGGCCCCAGGCAAGGTGCACGGCGCTCCGCTCCCAGGCCTCGCTCTTGGCGCTCAGCACCGCGGCCTCGCCGGTCGCGGCCGCTCGCTGGAGGCGTCGGTGGGCGGCCGCTCGCTGAGGGTCCACGGTTCCACCGGCCCCGTTTGGTTGTTTGCAGAAGCGCCCTCTGACAAAAAAATATTGGAAACTTTCTGGGGGAACTAGCAGGATGTTTGATGAATTCTGCTAGCTCACACATGGCCATGGGTCAAAACCCCAAAATCCCGTACCCCCCAGAGAACATCCCAATCCCCACTCAAATAGGTCCTAAAAAGGGTGGTGAATTCACCTACCCCAAAATGGTACCATTGATTTGGACCCACAGCCATGTCAAAAAAAAGGTCAAACCTTGGACCCCTTCGCCAAACAGCTTGCCAGACACAAATTGGCTTGGATCTTGTTACTAGATCCAAATGTTCATCCACGGCTTTCGTGGGCGGAACGCACCGGTGAAAACCCAGCTGTTGCCTTTGTGGATTTATCTTAGGATAAGGACCAGGCGCATAAGAAAACACGGAAACCGCTACTTGATCGAAGTTTCTTTGTGGAGAAAAACAATGGCTGGCTTGTTTCCAATTGAGAATGTTTCATGCACAGGCTAAATACGGAACCAAAGCTGAACCTGCTATTCCATGGGGGCTGTAGTCACACCCAACCCCCTCCCAAAAAAAAGAAGTTTGGTCTCCTTTTTTGGCCTCTCCCCCCCCTCTTCCCAAATTGCTTTGCTCCGGGCCAGCCCACCGGCCACGCGCGACCCGCGATTGACTCCTCCGGCCTCCTTGAGCACCCAGCTTTCCCTGCTCATCGGCAGCATCAGCTGTCGATTGATGGAGCCCAGGGAGACTCGCGACGAAGTGGCGAGTCTCGGAGATAGGGTCGACTCGCGCAGGACGGCAGGATAGCCCTTGAGAATTGGGTTGGAGTTGCTAAAAATGCAGCTGGCAAGGTGGTTGAGGGACCGACTGCGGGTCGAATAAATAAACCATTGACAGCTTGGGGCAATTGGAGGGCAAGCCTCGTTGGGCTCGAATAGAGTCCCACGGGGGCCTATCTTAGGCAAGCCCTAATAACCATGTCTGTTGCAGGCCCAAAACACGGTAGCTACATTCCATTCATCTGAGTGCAAGTGGGAATTCTGAGAATCTGTTCTCACCGCCAGTGGACTCCTGGCGATCTTCCAGTCAACATACACAGGAAACCACCAATTCAGCAACCATGGAAGCTGATGGAAGGTTTTGGTAGACGACAGTCCTCTTGGAGAAGCCGCTGAAACCCACTTCCATGGTTGCAAACACAAGGTAGGGGAGCAAAAGGGCCACAGCCCCCAAGAGACACCCCCCCAGTGGAAGAATCGGAGGAATCCACAGAAAGGTGACGCTCCAGGTGTCCCTAAGTTGGTTTCTCCTTTGCTTCGCCAAGGCTAACCCCGCTCGAACCAGCCACGGGCCGTCCTTCTGCATCATGCAGAAATCCCCACATTCCTTGCGGTGAGTCGAGGAGTTTTTTGGCCATGAAAGGACAAGAGGCAAGCGGAGGGAAACCACCCGTTTTGGGCTTCCCCCCAATTCGGAGACACGCCTAAATCTAGTTGTGTGCATGGCCGGCCTTGCAGCATTCCAGCTTGAACTAAGAGGGCAGAGTGGTTTTCCTTCACTGAGTCATGATCAAACTCGGTATGAAAAGGGTCTACCCACAAACATGTGAAGAACCAAGCAAGCGATCACTCCTATTTCTGGTTAAGACTGCCCCCCACCTTCTGCTGACGTCTTTACGCTCCATGATGTCGACCGCAGATTGGAAGACAACAACGGCTGCCAACAAATCAGCCCCAGTGAGACGTTCAGCCTTCTCCCTGTTTCACACCCAACAAACGCATCTATCTCTATGACTGAAATTGAGGGTGCCTGGTGAACAGGCATGTGTGTTTTCGGTTTTCGAGTTTGGGATCTGGAGGTATGCCGACCCCATGCCTGGTCCAGAATGGACAATGCTTTCGGCATGTTCTGTGTTGTTTTTGTTGATATGTTTCTATAAGTTGAATCTACATTTAAGTATGTATGTATAGTATATCTATATATACCCCGGGGGCACCCCTTGGGGCGGGAAAATACGTCGGCTGGATTTCTGGATGTCTGGATCTCTGCATCTCTGAATGTCTGGATGTCTGGACGTCTCCCCCCCCCCCAGTTGAGGTTGAATTACCGGGGCCTCAATCGTGGCCCCAATAAAGAAGAATGCCTCGCGGTTGTCCCTGAACCTAGTCCGGCGAAGTCAAATGAATAGGCCACGTAGTTGGTGGAAGATATATGTTACTGTAGATACTGCACGCACTCTCGTTTGACCGCAAGGTAGTGTCAAGTCGCCAGGCCTGTACAATATGGTTATGAACCAAATGGCAGCGGAGGATCTACATATAGTACATGTTTCCCATGAGTGGACTCTTGGTTCAGTAAGAAGCAAAACAAGAAACAAAACAGACACAAGTAAGTTTCTTTCCACTCACGGCACAGTGAATTGGTGTGAAAATGGCCTTTGGTTCGACAGGCCTGAATATTACTGCACCGTAGCCATATGAACGAATCGCAAAAAATTTCCGGCGAACTCTATTCCAGGCTGAATCTGTGCTATATACACGATCGACGATTGAAACAAAGGAGACACTGTGAGACCTAGGATGGTGAGAAATTCCGGGGGCCAGCAGGCCAATGTCCGGAGCGAAAATCATCATTCAGAAAATGAAAATCCATTGGATCTCAGAGCAATTCCGAAGTGAAATGCATGTCACATGTGGAAACAATCACATCTGCACGGTTCTGGTTGTGATGAACAGTTCATGATACTGTGCCTTGACAGCTTCATATGTGAACTGTGGAAGTTGAACGCCTCGGAGTGACATGGTTGAGATTAGTCGTTCTCTGTGGCTCTCTGTCAACTCGCTCTGGGTGATGAAAAACAAGGTGATAAGGTTGTCTAACAACGGGAAAAAAAGCCTGTGTGTGTGTTGCGTTCGTTGTCCTGTAGCAAATTGATTGAATACTGCAGGATCTGCTGGATCCAATATGACTGGATCTGGGATCATAGTGCAGCCGCTCCTCGCGCCCGTCCTGCCATCATCTGTTGAGCTTGTGCGACTTGTTCAGCGTATTGATCACGTCGTCGCTGGTTCGCCTCTTGAATCGCCTGTAAATATTCAGGGCTGGCCTGTGTGTAATCTGGCGCTGTGTCTTCCCAGGATGCTCTCAATCTTCGCAAGAGAATCTCGAATTTGCTTATGAAAGTCACAAGTTCACCAGTATGCCGGCGATGATTGAAGAAACTGAAGTATCTGTACAGGAACACATTCTGGGAGCCCTTGAGAAAATATCCTCCCAAAGTTGTGAGGAAATGTTCAACTTCTTTGTCAGGTTCAACAAGTTTGTTGTTATCCAGGAGATCTCTGTAAATAAGGGCATCATGGGTAAGTCGATTCTTCAACAACGGTCCTTGCCGATGAGGTTCAACTTGTGTGAATGTGACCCAGTCCCGTACCAGATCTTCATACCGGAACCAACTAACACGGCCATCAAACGATGGTGGCAATTTTGCATTCATCGAAAGATTGATGTTCTCCTCATTGGTGGACATATCTCCGCCATGCAAAGGCCAATGCGGGATCTGTCATAGAGAAGTCTTCTTCGCTCAACATTCTTCCGGAAAACCTGCTCCGCTACCACGATTGAGGTTGAATTACCGGGCCTCAATCGTGGCCCCAATAAAGAAGAATACCTCGCGGTTGTCCCTGAGCCTAGTCCGGTGAAGTCAAATGAATAGGCCACGTAGTTGGTGGAAGATATATAGTACTCAGCATACAAGTCAAGGCTCAGCATGCTTCGCACTAACCTTCGAGACGAAAGCCAGTTACTGTAGATACTGCACGCACTCTCGTTTGACCGCAAGGTAGTGTCAAGTCGCCAGGCCTGTACAATATGGTTATGAACCAAATGGCAGCGGAGGATCTACATATAGTACATGTTGCCTATCAGTGAACTCTTGGTTCAACAAGAAGCAAAACAAGAAACACCCCCCCTTTGTTCTGTTTTTCAGACCATTGATCTCCCGCAACCACCGTGTGACAAAAGAGCCTCAGCAGGCCGCATAGAGGATTATCCACAAGACAATCCACCAGGGACAATCCATCCTCCAATCATCCACACTGGCATAGTGGATTCTCTCCGGAATAGATCCAAAAACCAACAACGACCTCAACTACCACAGAGTTCCAGTTCGCACCTGGGGCAGTGGGCCTCAATTTGTGGTAGCGGAGCGGGTTTTCCGCAGAGATCCAAGGGAAGATGTCATCCGATGGAGAAGGCTTCATGGAAGCCTATACAAGTATGGCCAAGCCGAGCTATACGGAGGAAACACTAAATTTATCGATGACCGCCAAGCAGCCGCCATCGTACGACGGAAAAGTCAGCTGGTTCAGGTACGAGGAACTTGTGGACGACTGGGTGACCATCACCACAGTAGAAGCATCCAGGCGAGGTCCATGCTTAAGAGCAGACTCACTGGAGATGCTTACATGTACAAGGCCGTCCTCCAGAATGATCTTTTGCAAGATCCTGATGAAGGAGTCAACTATTTCAAGAACACGCTGAAGAAGTACTTTTTGAAAGGTGCGACCAACGTGTATCTGTACAGACTCCTCAGTTTCTTCAATCATCGGAGGCAGAACCAAGAGTTCCTCATTTTTACCTCAAAATTCGAAATCCTACTTGTGAGACTAAAGGCAGCATGGATGGACTTGATGCCAATCTTTACGGCACAGTCTCCATCATTTCGACAGTCCGTACAGGACGCAAATGCAAGAACAATTGCTCGACATCAGCAAGCAGCCGGTGTTCGAGCACCGCCTCCAGCCCTGCTCAATGAGGACGATCCGACAGTCCTCAGACAGTATATCCAAGGAATGCAGGACAGACAGCGGGACGCATTTCCCTTCGGGGATAATCTCATTGCACAGTTTTTCATTATTCAAAGTGAGTTGTCAGATCAGCAAAGAGAAACATGAGAATTATTCCTATGAGATGCTGAAGACGCATTACCATGAACTCTTCATCACGACGAGGACATCGATCCAAGATCCATCCATCCGACCTCAAGGAGGCAACCGAAGCAACACATTCTTCATCATCGAACAAGGTGAATACGAAGGAGAAGAAGGCTTCTGGGTTGAGGATGAAGAAGGACTTGAAGGATTCATGTCAAACAACGATGAAGAGACGTTCTGGGTCCTCGAGGAGAACGATGCGTTCATAGCAAGAAAAGTGTCGGGGCGGAACTTCAAGTTCAAGAAGAGAAAAGGAAAAGGAAAATCAGGAAACAAAAAGGGCAGTCACCAACGAGGTGGCTTTAAACCCTTCAGAAAAAGCGGTTCTGGCGGAAAGGCCAATATGGCCAACGAAAACTATGATCCCTATGACCAGGCATTTTGGGGAAAAGGCAAGGGAAAGAAGGGAAAGAAAGGAAAATCAAAATTCCAATATCCCTATGATGGAAACAAAGGTTATCCATCCTATGAGAGTGGTTAAGGAAAGAGCGGACAGGAGAAAGGAAAATCCAAGACGTTCGCAGCCACCGCCGCCATCCAGCAGACTGCACCATCCATAGAGCCTACCTATGCCGGTTGGACAGACCAAGATTGGGATCAATCATGGACATGGAACGAACATGGCTGGTACTCATCCCATGAGACATCCAGCACAGGACAAGCGTTAATGGCATTCCATGATGCATATGAGCATCCTGGGAAAAGGCCATCCACGAGAAGCTGAT